GAGAAAACATTCTCTCAGGCTTTCACAGAGAGCACATTGGCCAAGCAATGGCCGTGACTCATCCACATGGCTGACACTGACAAAGGTTGTACCATCTGAGGTACAGGATCACAGGATAAATCCTGAGGGGATTTCACTGACCTTATCAGACCCAAAAGCTACAACTCTTGTTGCATAGGTCTTGCTTTACCTTGGTCTTAAGCATCCAGCAGAAATGTGTAAAAAAGAAATATAGGAAGTAAAGCCATGCTCTTATGTTGAGCTGTAGGCGACTCAGGTCAACAATTTCTGACTTTGCCAGTCAAGCGCAAGACCCAATACTATTATGGGCTACTGGACTCTTTCAGAATATTTTGATGAGTTTACACTCCTATTATATTCTAATAATGGAGCTTAACAAAAAAGAGGATCCAGATGAATGTCCATTTTGTATCTGTATAGTCAAAGTGGTTAGGATAGATATATGGTTACATTCTCTTAATGAATAGAGGGATTTGTTCTAATGGTGTTTGTAAGTAGGATATCATGTCTGCATCTTGTACAACAATTAACCTCTAGGAAGAATTTAAGTAATGTGTCAGTTATTGAAACTGTCCTTCCAATTTGGTTTGAAACTGTCTCATCGCTATTTGTTTCTCAATAAAATTACAGAAAAATAATTCTGTGAAAAATTTTCCATGAATGAATCACAACTAAGATCTTGCATATCCAGATGCATGTTTAAGTAAATATAATTATGAAGGATTATTCAGTAATGCAGCAAAATCTAGATTTTTAAATGCATTTTGATATTTAATATATTTACTTACAAAAAAAAGCATTTTTATGCCAAAAAATGAAATAAAAAGCTGTCCGCTAAAAGAAACAGAATCACCTTCAAAGGAAAGTTGTCAGAATCATGGTGGTAGTTTGGACTATAGTGATTCACCTGTTTTCAGCCTCCCCAGGGCTGGGATTTTACGTGTGTGCCACCATACCATGATCTGGGTGGCCAACTCAGTGCACACTGGGGCGGGGCCTCTGCAGTATGTGGTGCTGGGTATTGAAATCCAATTCCTGTGCTTGCCTAAGTAGGCACTTAGTCCACTGAGCCATCTCACTGGCCCTTTATCCTCTTCTTAAAGATCAATTTGGGCCAAAGTTCAGCTTATCTGGTGATTCGTTTTTGCGACTTTCTTTGGAATATGTAAGGAATTAGAGAATTGAAAGTCTGTTTGCCTTGTACCTGTTTTTTCTCCTGTATCTATTTATTTGCAGATCTGTGTAAATGTAACAGGTTAACAAATGTCCTTGAAGCCATTCTTTGTGGTTAAATAAAATTCCTGTTCTGTTCATTCAAGAAAAAAAAAATCATGGCAGACTTCTCAACACAAATCCCAAAGCCACAAAGATCTGGAAGTAAAGTATTTCAAGTCCAAGTGGAGAAAAGCTTCCAACCTAGATTGATATACCCTGCAAAACTACCTCTCAAAATTAATACAGAAAAAGATACTTCCACAACAAAGAACTGAAGAAATTTATGACTACCAGGGTTGGTGAGATGTCTCAGGAGGCTATTCACCTGCTTAGGCATGCAAAGGAACTGGGGCTCGCTCCCTGACACCATATCCATGCTGGCCCCATTCCCAGGCATCCTGCACTAGCCACAGAGTCTTGATGTGTTGGCACACATCTGTAATCCCAGTACTGGGGTGGGGGTTGAAAACAGGAGGATCACTATGAGTCTGAGCTGCATAGTGATACTCTATACCAAATATATAAAATAGAAATTTATGACCACCAAACCAAACCTACAAGGAGTACTAAAAGATATTCTAGAAAGAGATTAAAATGACCTTAATTCCAAGAAAAAGAAAAAAAAAAACAGAAAGAAGCAACCAGACAGAACAAACAATTAAACACAGGGTAAGAGTCAGGAACCAACAGCGGGAAAACACCATGGTAAAGATAAACAAATGTATACTGCTTATAACCATCAATGGAAATGATCTATATTCACCAATCAAAAGAAACAAAGTCGTGGCATGGATCAAGAAACAAGATGCAACAATATACTATATAAAAGAAGTGCAATTAATTCAAAAGGAAATGAATAGAATGAAAGTCAAAGGATAGAAAATAATCTCCCATGTAACAGAAACCCCAAAAGAGCAGCGATAGCTATTCTATTTCAGACAATGTGAACTTCAAACCAAGAATGCTCAAAGGAGATAAAGATCATCTACATACTTGATAGGGGAAAACATTAAGAGGAAGATATCACAACAGTAACTATGTATGTGTCAAATATGGGAGAACCCAACTATATAAGACAACTATTAATGGATATAAAAAGTTGAATAACCAATAGCACAATTGTAATAGGGGACCTCAATATCTCATTATCACAAAGAGTTAGGTTAACTAGACAAAAGCCAGCAAATACATACCAGAATTGAACCAAACTTGTGAACAAATGGATTTAGTGTAAGTTTATAGAGTGTTCCCTCCAATATCATCAGAATACACATTTTTGTCAGCTGCACATGGAATGTTCTTTCAAATACATCATGTACTAGCCCACAGAACATGCTTATGTAAATGTAAAGGAATTGAAATTAACCCAAGAATATCATCTGACCACAGTGCAATGAAATTGGAAATAGCAAAAAGAAACCACAAAAGCTCCATAAATACATAGAAATTAAATAACACCTTCCTAGCTTTGCACAGTGGCAATATTGTAGCCAATGAGGTTTATCTGAGGTGCAATTATTGCTAATTAAATAACACTTTCCTGAACAACCATTAGTTTACAGATCAAATAAAGGAAGAAATTAAACAATATCTACAACTAAATGAAAATACAGATACAACATACTGGATGGGATATAATGAAAGCAGTACTAAGAAGGAAATTAATAATTGTGAATTCTGCAATATAGAAAACAGAATGAGCACAAATAAATGACCTAATGTTATGCTTCAAGCTTCTAGAAAAAGAAGAGCAAGTGAAGCTCAAAGCCCCATACAAGTATGGAAATGATAAAGAATATGTCAGAAATTAATGCAATGGAGACTAAGAAATCAGTGAAGAGAACTAATAAATCAAAGAGTTGATTCTTTAAAATAAATAAAATTGATAAACTTAGAAAATCTTATCAAAAAATGAAAGAAAAGACATAAATTCAAGAATTGAGGAATAAAAAGCGTGAAATCACTACAAATCCTGTAGAAATTCAGATTATCAATAGCTACTTTGAAAATATTTACTCTCATAAGATGGAATACACAGAAAAAAAAGACAGAGTCCTAGATAGGCATGAATTACCAAAACCGAATCAAAAAGACATGAAAATTCTGAATAATCTCATATCAGTTAATGAAATTTAAAAGGTAATAAAAATTATGAACAAAGAAAAGCACAGTACTCTGAAAAAGGAGATCAAAATAAATAACAGAAAAGGGAAATATTACTTGCTCATGGATAGGAAGAACCAACATTGTAAAAATGACCATATTCCCAAAACTGTTACAGAGATTTAATGCAATCCCAATCAGAATAGCATTACCTCACAGAACTAGAGAAAACAATCTTAAAATACACAAGGAAACAAAGAAACCTAAAATAACAAAGGCAATCCTGGGCATTAAAGGCAAAGCAGGAGGCATCACAGTCTCTGACCTAAAATTATATTACAAAGCTACTGTAAGAATATCAGCATGGTACTAGCAAAAAAACAGAGCTAAGTACCAGTGAAACAGATCAGAAGATTTAGACACAACTCTAAACACATTTAGCCACCTTATCCTTGAAAGAGAGGCCAAACATTTTCTCTGGAAGAAAGATAGCCTCCTTAATAAATGGTGCTGGAAAAACTAGCTTAGTACATGCCACCAGCTAAAATTAGATACATGTCTATCACCATTCAGTAAAATACAGTCAAAATGGATCACATAGGCTGGGGAGATAGCTCAGCAGTCTAAGTGCCTGCCTGGCAGGCACAAGGACCAGGTTCAATCCCAGGCACCTCATGTCATGCTGGCCCTGCACCAGGTGCAACCAGCCAGACACTGAGATCAGGTGTGTGGGTGCACATCTGTAATCCTAGCACTGGGGAGGCTAAAAGAGATCCTTCCTAGCAGAAGGATCGCTCTGATCTGAGCTCCATAGTGAAACTCTGTACCAAATGCATAAAAAAATTTTAAGTGGATCAAATATCTAAATATAAAAACAGAAACACTACCTCTACTGGATAAGAACGTAGGTAGAAATCTTGAAGACATATGGGTAGGCAGAAAGTTCATAAACAAAATCCAAACTAGAGGGATAATACTTAAAAGAATCAACAACTGGGATCTCATTTTATTAAAAATTTTCTTCAGATCAAAAGAAACCACCAACAGAGCGAAAAGACAACCCACAGAATGGGAAAATATTCTGGCGAACTCTCCCTTGGACAACCACTTCTATCTAGATCATACAAATAAAAGAAAAAGCTCAGAACCCCAACATTCAAAGTTCAATCCAAAATTTGACATCTGAGATGAATACACACATCTCAGACGAAGAAATACAAATGGCAAATAAATATATGGAAAAATTTATTTATTTATTTATTTATTTATTTATTTTGCAATGTTCAATAGGAAACTGAAGTTTATTTATCATAAAATATACATGTCATATCTGACAACTGAGTAAAACTATTATTTACATAAAACACAGATTAAAAATATATAGTATTTGAATACAATATTCAGGTACCAGTAGTCAAAGAAATGTGATTCCAGCATTTTTGTTATGTAGTTATTTGTTCTGTTACATAGAACTAAAATGGAGGTAAGCATTAGCAGTGTATTTCTCAAGAGTCAAATATTCATGAACTTCATGTACTTGGCTCTGCATGTGTAGAAGAAAAAAATGGTTTCTTCACATGTGCCACTCTCCGAGTCTTCCACTTCAGAATCCTCAGCAATTTCCTCTCAAAAATCAAATTCCTGGCTGTCCAATGATTCTGAGCTATCCAGAGTTTTACTAGACAGTTTCCTGATTACCTCTGCCATATACAGTATGTGTTCTGCTACATCTGGCAATTCTTTATTCCCCAATTTCACTGTCTTTTTGTTCAATTTCTTTATGAACTTTCTCATTTTCCTTAAGAGCTTCATAGAGAGCTTTCCTTCATTTTTCTGCCACTTCTTTCCAATCTTGAAAAGATGGATTGTCATGAGATCAAATGTTTTTGGGTGACTCCTCCATGATTCTTATTTTCATCAGATTTTGGATCAATAACTGCTCCAGAGCTTGAAGTCTTAGGTGTTAACTAGTCATTTGAATGTTTCCTTTTGGATAAGCCTTTAAGCAACGCATTTTCTCTTCCAACAAGAAATCCAGCTGCAGAAGGCTGAATCATCTTCAGAGTTCTTGGCGCAGGCTTATTCTTTGTATTTTCTTGAATTTCTTCTTGTTTCTGCTTCATACTGGGACTCATGGAAAATTTTTCAATATCATTGGTTGTTCAAGTGCTGCAAATTAAAACAACTCTGAGAGTACATATTACCAAGAAAGAAGGACTGTTATCAAGAAATCAACCAATAACAAATTCTGGAGGGGTTGTGAAAAAAGGAAATTCCCACTTTTGGTGGGAGTGTAGACTGGTACCGTCCTTGTGGAAATCAGTGTGGAGATTCCTAAAACAACTAGGATTAGAGGTACCATTTGCCCAAGCTATTCCCCTTCTGGGTATTTTCCCAGAAGAAATAAAACCATCATACCAAAGCAATATATGTGTATCCATGTTTATAGCAGCATAATTTGTCATAGCTAAACCTTGGAAACTACTCAAATGCCCATCAACCAATGAACAGATAAAAATGATGTGGTATTTTTATATAATGGAGTAATACTCAGCTGTAAAAAGATAAACTTGAGACATTTATAGGGAAATGAATACAACTTGAGACTATACTTGTAAGTGAAATAAATCATACTTGTATGTGTCACATCATATTGTCTCTGAAGGGTATGAAGCTGAAAGAGTAAATAAGGCTCAGAATGTACAATAGACACTATGAAATGGAAAGCAACTGTTCAAATAGAAAGAGAAACTGGGATGGGGCAAAGGAGAAAAGAAGGAAAGAAAAAAAAATATATATATATATAGTTAAGATATCTATGCTACTAATTTCTATTATTTCATTGAAAAGAAAGGTTTGTGCTTATATTATTTGATCAATTTTTCATGCCTACATCTTGTAATATGAGAAACTGCCTTGAAAATGACATTAACAGTGTACTAACCATTGTTACTCTCCTACAATCTTATTTTAAAATTTTGTGCCATTGTGTTTATTGTTTTTTTCTTAAAATATAAAAAGCTACTGTGATAAAAACAGAGTTATACTGGCACAAATCCAGACATGTGAATCAATGGAACAAAACAGAAATTATAGAAACAACCTCAGTCACACTCAGCTATGTGATATTTGACAAAGGGACCAAAAACTAAATTTGAGAAAAGATAGCCTATGTGACAAATGTTGCTGGGAAAACTGGTTATCTCCATGCATAAAATTTAATTTAAACCTGTATCTTTCTATGTACTAAAGTAAATTCAAAATGGATCGTAGTTCTAAATGTTAAAGAAGAAATGCTTAATCTGTTAGAAGGCAATATAGGTACTCTTGAAGACATAGGCTTAGGCAAGGACTTGCTGAACAGAAACCTAATTGCACAGGAAATAAAAATCAAGAATTAAAAAGAATTATGTAAAATTAAAAAGTTTTTGTACTGTAAAGAAACATTCTAAAAAGTGAAAACACAACCTAAAGAATGGGAAAAATTTTTGCCAGCTACACCTCAGAAACAGGGTTAATATCCAGAACATAAAGAACTCAAAAACTTTAGAACCCCCCCAAATAAAAGATCAAATAAAAAAATGGGCAATTGGTCTGGGTAGATAGCTCAGCGGATTAAAGTGCCTGCTTAGGCAGACTCAGGGACTGGAGTTCAATCCCCGCTGGTGTGTGTGCCAGCCCCGTCCCCGGGGTGTGCTGAGATGGCTACTGAGACTGGGCATGTAATCCCAGAGTTTAGGAGTCTGAAAACAGGAGAATCACTATGAGTCCGATCTGTTTAATGATACCCTGTAGACCCCATACTAAATACATTAAAATAAATAGTAAAATAAAAATTAAAACTGGGCAATTGACATGAATAGATACTTCTCACAAGTAGTATAAATTGGCAATAAATACATGAAAAAGGGTCAACATCTCTAGAAAATATAAATTTGAAAAAATACCAAAATTCCATCTTATTCCAAAAGAATCACTATCAACAAGAAAACAAATAATAACAAATGTCGGCAAGACTGCATTGGAAGGGAACCCTTTTGCATTTCTGGTGAGAATTTAAATTAGTACGACTTGTGTGGAATCAATACAGAGATCTCTCAAAAAACTAAAAGCAGAAAATTCCATTCAACCCAGCTATTCTCCTTCTAGGTTTCTTCCTGAAAGAGTTAAAGACAACATATTTCAGTAATTCATGAATTCTCATGTTTATAGCAACACAATTCACAACAGCTAAATCCTGGTAGCAGCCAAACATCCACAGTAGGTGAATGTATTAAAAAATGTGGTATTTATACACAGCAGAATATTACTTTGCCATAATGAAAGGTAAGCTTGAATCATTTTTAGGAATTGGATACATCTTGTGACCATAATTTGAAGTGAAATAAGTCACATAATCTTAACTATCACATGGTTTCTCTTATATGAGAAACCCAAAATATAAAGAACAAAATAAAATATACATAATAAGAAATAGGGAGATAGATCTTTTTCAAAAGGAAAAGGA